CCAGTTGCTATCCAGCGTTTCTGAATGAGTGTCCGGAAGTGTATGCATCTCGGGATGAATGCGGTAGATTAGCATTAAGTCCCCTACCACATCCACTTTTATTCCTTTCCTTCACAATAAGATTTTCATATAAATTATGGCTTTACGGCTGGGAAATGGGAAGCTCATTTAATATACGTGGGCCATTGACTGCGAAGGAGACATCGGTGACCAGACCCAGAAATTTAGGCGTGTTCATGGTTGTACGGCAGTGAAGCATCAGTGTCAACAGTGGTGTTGCTGTCTTTGATGATCATGATGAGTACGCGTGTTCATACCATACCTCCAAACTATGGAGTAGTGCGGATCGCACCACTGCTGTGTACATTCTGCTCCAGACAGAAAAACGTCACGCCGGTGTGCCATAAATAACGAAGGCTGGCGAAAGTTGATATGGCCTTTTCGATTCTAGAAGTCTCCATCCGGTCCGTTAGGACTTGGACAACTATTCAGGCGAATGAATTCATCCATCGCGTCAACTAGCCGTTTTGTAAGGATGAGGGTTTGGTTTGATTCATTCAGTTGCACTTTACACTTTGCAGATGTGAAACTCATGACAAATCTTGCAACACAACCATCTAGGTTACTCACAATGCTCGGTATCTCCAGAGGTCTGAACCAAAACGAGCAATGTCGTCCACTAACTCAATGTCTGGCAACAAACACCAAAAAGTTACTTTTACCTCGAGGTGTCAGAGGCAAAATTCTTATTTAGCACATGGACAACAGAGTCGACGGGAAGTATTGAAACAGGGTAGCCTTGGCTTGTGCTAGTGGACACAGTAAGCTCAGGGAAGAACTTGTCAATGGTAGCAGGCATAAAGAGAGTTTATAAAGGACAAGAATTTCCTTGGAACGGTTTTCATCGTCAGACTCCGACATCGTTTCTGTGAATCGACAGAGTCAACAGAAACTTTCTGCGAAAGAGGAAACGACGTTCGAAGGAGTGGAGTAGTTCATGCACTTGTCTCAAGATGTGGTTGATATAGCCACGGTTAGGTCAAAATTTCAGTGCAGACCATAAGAATTTGTCCTCCCCGCTAACTAACTAATCTGCGCTAGACAATCACAGAAAACATCATAATAGCTATGGTTTTCGCATACTTTTGGCGCGTTGCTATTGATGGTTTAACTAGACGTCAAAGTACGCCATTCTACCGGTATTCGGTCTTCTTTTCGAAGGCTTTATAATAGGACCACCAGAATCCGCACCGGGGATACAGTACCTCTGGAAAGTCGAAACATTCAGTGCCTATCTACGTTGGAGGAACGTAGCTCGCATTGAATCCGAATATCTGCTAGAGCCATCCAGCCATCAGCGCTAGATTGCTGGTGACAATGTTCCATTCAGGTTCATCGGGCTCTTCCAGGGTTTGCGTTGAGTACTTGCTGAATTGTTCTTCAAGTATTCAGCTCACTAGTCAAGGCGACAGTTTGGCGACTAAACTGACGTTCCATCTCATTTGCAAACCGTTTTGCTGCTACATACTTTCCTACGACTATTTGTTTGAATTGGCGGAAATAAGTTTTAGTCGTTGGCATCTTCACTGAGCTAGACAATTTGATTTCAAACGCTTCAGTACCAATCGAGGTGACATCATCAGTGCGTTAACTGGGAGCATAGTGGTGCGTAGCGGTGGGTTAGTGGTTGTTCGTCGAGTTAAGTTGAAGATTTCTCGAAGCATGGTACTTCACGGCAGATTCGGTCAACAGGTGCATCGAACTGGATCCAATTTACGCACCTCTACGTGCAAAAGACCATCTCAACCGAAACACACAAGGAAGACCGAATACCGGATTCACAAAAAAACAAGACTCAAGAAGCCTCAAGATTTAGGAAAGTCTTAAAACATGACAGATGAGCTTCATTTCCTTTCCCCACTTAGTCTCCTGAATGATTATTATCTGAGCGTCCGTGCAGTACTACTGGCTTTTCAACCACATCAGTCCGATGTTTTTGGCTAAAAAAATTCCGTTGTAGGTGATGAATTGAATGACCCCGCGTCGACCTGTCTTGTCCTGAGAGAGAGCAACCTGATAAACAACCGGGCACACTGGAATGAACGGAATCAAGCTGAAGCTCTCCACCAGGAACCGGTGGACATAGAATCCAGTGTAGTCTACAACTGGTCTGCGGACGATGAATTCAGAGGGATTTTGTCCAATGTTCGTACTGGTCAGCAACAGACAACACTCAGCACGAGACTTAAGTCACTTTAAATTATCTGTGAGATGAGCATCGATACCGAATTCACCAGGCGACTGTATGTTTTGCCAAACTTGAGTGTTTATCTCACCATAAAGGAGGACACCATCCTTCTTTCCTGCTAATGAAAAATGTCATGACAAATCTCAATAAAACGTCCCCTCCTCAGGTTATTCTGAAAAGGCGAACAGATACCCTCCAACACATCAGGTTTTGCAGATTTTAACTGAGCCAGATGGCATGGCGAAAAGATTGTTTGTTGGAATCCAGTCTCATAAAGCGTTTTGGGGCAATCCCACGCAGTAGATACAACGGGCCATTTTCTTAGGATTATTAGACAACTGAAGAGTGAAATGTGGAACGGTTGGGCTCGTCATAAGCTATTTGAGGTGCATGACCGAAATGGGTCCCTGTTAACGTCTCAGAAGCAGTATTATTCGAGAGAGAGAAAAGGAAGGGTAAGCTTGAACAGGAGATACCTGTCGTCCATCTGAATCCGCTGGTGGTCATGATTAACCCATCAACGCAGCTCTTGAGGCTGATCTTTTCTGACCCATTTCCACCGAGAAGGGAGCCACCTCCGCTTCCATAAGTGTGGAAACGTTGGTCGCTTAGAGGAAACATATCCCCCCACACGCCTTTACACTTCCATCGCAGAGGTCGACCCGCAATAGGATTATTAGTAGTGCGTGAGCTTTATGTTCCATTTGGCCGTTCCCATTTGGATTGTACGAAATGGCTAAACAAAGTGGAACAAAAATATTCAGAAGGTCGCTGAAAACTCTTCGAAAGCCACGGCAAGTTTCACCCTTCTTGGACGCCCATTCACCATTCACCAGGTAGGCGTAGTAACCTTCAACCTAATGTTCTGCTTGAAGAATACCGCAAACGGGAGTTTCAACTAAGCTTCAGGTGAACCCCCGAGAAAAACAAACTGGTACGCAACCGAAAGTATGTGCGGAGCATATGAAACGAAGTTTCGGTCACCGCAGCTCGAGGGCTCATTGTAGCACACAAGCTCAACTACTACTTCAAGGTGGCGGCTTCTGGTCAGCAGAGTCGTCAAATCGTAGGAAGGAAAAGTAACAACATCAACGATATTCTCTGCTTCAACATTATAATTTCAGGGACTTCATTCGTTGAGGATAAAGGTGTGTGAATAAAAAAATCAGAATGTCAACTGGAGTGATGATAGCATGTACTGCTATTGGACTGAAGTTACTGCTCTTTGCGGTTTGGAAAACCAATGGTTTTACAGTAAGAACCTCTAAGTGGACGTGCAAGACGATACGACCAAAATTTGTCGCTAAATCAAGAAGAATTTGAAGTTTAGCTCTACAACACCATGACCAAAAAACAGTGAAGTTATTCTTGTTGATAACTGCGATGATTAGTCACAATGTTTTTTGCCTTTTTGCTGAGCCTGGCAGTTTGCAAACAGAACAAGAGCCATACTATCAAAAACCAGTAGACGCGCCCGAGCTACCACTTTTTCGATAAACCGCCAACACTGAGTTAAGGAAGCTGGAACCATATACCTTGCCCGCTTACACCAGTTGCTTCGGAAGCACAGAGAATCAACACCGTTCAAATGGACCGGAAGGTGGACATGAGTCGACAGCAGACGATAGCTAAACCGTATACACTCAGCGGTTCTCACGAGTTCATTCGGAATATACTTGTAATAAACATTATAGGACGACGGTTCCGCCAGTTGTGGGAATCAAAAACGGAGACATAACATGAGACTCAATTTCTGCTCCGGTGTGATTCGTATTGTGTTCTACTTCTAGTAAGCGACTAAGACCTAACCCATTGATTCCATAGTGCACTTTCATGGAAAAAGCCGTTTCAGCCGGCGTCGAGCGGACGCCCTCCTAAGGGGTAGCAATGTACCCAAAAAGAAGTTACGATAGCCACTGGTCACACGAAAGATCGTAAGTGTCACTCACGAGATTTTAGTGTGGACATCGTAGACGACCTCTGTTGGACATTGGGGGGATGTTCCCGTGTTTGGCGCTTCAATCCGACAGATCGTTTGCTTCGAGGCTGGAAGAAAGATAATATCACATGAAGCAACGGCAGACGTTCACGAATCACAGAAGATTGCAGAGCTGTTAGGAATTTCATGTACAACACCTTGGAAAAATCTCAATATAAAAGGTATACGGGCACCATGTAAGAGTTTCTTCGTAATTCACTTTACACAAGCCCAAACAATGACAGGTTAAATCTCGACTCTTCATTGAACCAGCTATGCAGATGCATCGATGATCGCCCAAGCTGTATTCACACCTGAGCTACTATAGCAGATGTACCTTCCTGGAAAGTTCACACAACGCAGATGTTCATATCCGGAAGTCGAATAGAGGACCGCGTCAGCTTTGAACACACACAAACCAGTGTTGTTTGATTAGAAGATCTAACTGAATAAATCACAGTAGATCAAAACTTGTACCAAGAAGCATAACGATTCAGAGAATAAATGACTCTAGAAGACATCACATGAGTTCACAGAAGTCATGTTGAGCGTACCGAGGACGTACCAATGCTGGATTCGTTTTTCTATTGTGATAACTATAACAAGCGTATCAGAACCGTCTATATAGCACACCTAACAGCCTTAGACCAGGGTTTTCGGAACAAGCAATTGGCTCCATGTTAATCGACTATACCCAAGCCATACATATTGTAAACAAGCAGCATAAAAGCATAAAGACAGAAGTGACCTAAAATCGTTAAAAACTTCACTCACAAGGACTGAATTCAGAAAGATTTCATTGGCAGGTGACTGAGGGAACTGGATACCCTTCTGGCGCAAAGTAGTGTAGATCTTTTCCATGTCTCGTTTGCCAGGAACATCCCAATTAAGCTCGACCCAGCTCTGTTGTAATGCGATTGAATTCTACATATCATAATTACCTTCAACATATACAGAACTTGGTTCTGCAACTGTTGTGATGGCTCATTTTTAGGTGAGAGCAACTTTAAGAAATCGTGCAAGAACTCCTTGTTTGCGACTTGACTGTGAAATCGTCGACCACAATTTTGTATGCATGCATCCAACAATAGCAGTGTGTACCACACGGAAGTGTGGTCCCGTCCAGCGGAGGAAGAAAGACGTTTTCGAATCGCCCGGATGGCTTCCTTGGGACTAGAAAGCAGAATTTATATATTCCAAAACGAAGCTACCCTTCATCAGTTTCGTTTATGGTGTCACAAATCTCTAAGATGAGAGACCAATCCTCCGTAGATTGTCCACTATCCGTGGCACGTTCTGTGACAGTGAGGTTTGGGTAAATACAAACCAACCTGTAAGTATACCGACTGGGGTTGAGAATGGATGTGGGTTGAATAAATTGTGCATTAAGAGGTCGGTTGAAAAGACCCCAGTTCACTGTAGACCATTCAGAAAATCACGCCCCAAGTCACGAACCAACACGCGTCAGTCAAAGACGGATGAGCAATATGCGCTGAAAAATGACAGCGAGGAGGAAACGCCAGACAGCTTTATTGATTGATTGCTTTGGTATCGGGAAGCCCTTTGGTAGTCTGCAGAAAATGGGGAGTCATATCTGGGACAGATTTAGTGAAGGACTAGAAACAAAAAAGACACATTACATGAAGTGGCCAGGGAAAGTGGCAGACAATTGAGAGTGAAGTTGCTACACGAAGGCGGGTGTTAGCGAAAGTGGTTAAAAAACATCAAATGTCGTGAGTACTTTATGCTATTCACCATGCCATCATCAAAGCAGTGAAACGGACTGAATTAAATCAGGTAGTAACTATGACCTAAATGAAAATTAACCCCAGCTGCCGCGGTTTCTCCCTTGACTGACAACAAAGAAAGGGATTATTACAGATGATGACTTGTCTATTGGTGTATAGACTAGGTTGGTGAAAAACCCACAAGTTGCGGTTCACTCGTTTGGCCCCACCATCGTTTGAACAATTTGGACATCGAAGTATTTATCATAGCAGCTTTAATATAAGCTTACTACTAACCCCGTATAGAGACCACTGCTGCTAGCATCCATAACTAGCAGTATGCCGCTTTCTACAACACCATCCAGGGTATGGTATCATCAACAAAGACAGCAAAATTAGTGTTGACACCGATACTTCACTGCCGTACAACCATACGGTTCGTCTAATTATATTTAAAGATAGAGTGAAAAGAAAAAAAGAGTGGGTAAGGGGGGACCTAGTGTGGGCCTATTGCAAGCAACCAACCAGGCCTTGGAGGTGAAGACATGTTCAGTTTGTTCGGAAATTGGGTAACTACGCATTGAAAGCGATAGCTTTGACGCACGGGCTCCACTGACTGCGCCATTAGTCCGTTTTCGACAATGTCATTAACCACTGGTGATTTGAGTCTCAAGATCCTCATCCAGGGAGGCGGAAGTTGCCCACCCGACTATGTTTACTGGTAAGTGTTTTTGTCACTCGTTGCCGTGTCAATCCCGCAGCCAAAAATACCTCGTTACTAATATGCCGACGCGATCCAAAACCAGCCAGGCTTCTGGTGCATAGTTGATCGAAAACCTGGAGACAACTCACATCGTCCATCCTCAGAGGCCACGTATCGCACTCATACTACAACACAGCCCATACTGTGACCTGGTAAACGCGACTCTTTAGATTTAGTGATATGCATTTGAGACGCCACAAGTGATGGAAATTAGCAACCGTGCTTCGATCATTTGAGATTCTTGCACCTACTTCATCAGACACATTTCCGTCAGAGCTAGTACGACTACCGAGGTATGTAAAAAAAGTTCACAACATCCAGTGACTCTCCTTGAATTATAAGCGATATGTCCGCAGACTGCACATTCTGAAGCCTTACTTTGCACTGTGAAGGTGCCAGGCGCATACTAAAAGATGGTATGATGGTGGTAGCCTATTCAACAGGGCTTATGCTTCGTTTTGTTCTTCAAAGCTGAGGGCAGTGAGTAAGAAGAGCACTGATAAGAACCATTCGCCTACCTTCAAAAAAGGAGAGCGCCTGGATAGTTGGACTGAACACACAATTCAGCTGGTCACGTGCAGCTGCTCAACCGGATTCCCGAACCGGGACTCGGCCCAGGAAAATGAACTTGAAACCACCGACGGCTTCGGAAATATGCGAATGCCTTTTGACCTTAAAGCGTCACTGACCTGCTGGTCGTGACGAGCACTCACTCACTCCCTTCAAAAATGGAGCTGAAACCATCAAGCAGCACTTTTCCAACTCAGTTGCCTCTATCTGGGTCAAACAAACCGTCTCATCCAAATGTAGTGAGTTGACGGTGGTGCTCATTTTCAAAACGGGTGCTCGCAGTGAGTGTGGCGATTACAGGGGAATTGGTTTGATCGATGCCCTAACCAGATTCTGTGCATTACATATCCTGTCATTGTTCAAAGGCGCGTGGAGACAACCACACAACAGCAAGCATGATTTTAGTTAGGGAAAGGCCATGTGAACAGTTTCATAGTCCATCAGTGGTGTTGTAACGGTATGTGTACAGGCCCCCTACAATCTTGGTGCTCCTTGAATTCGAGTTTGATCCTGCCAACTAGTTAGATCTTTTTACCATGCTTGGGCAACATGGCATGACCCATAAGTCCATGAATATTATGAGCCGTTTATATTCGCATACATGTGGGCATATGCGTGCACGAGAAACTCTCCAAAACCTATACTGAAGGCAGTGGTGTTCGACAAGGGTGTCCACTCTCTCCATTCCCGTTTACTTTCGTCGGTAATGAGATAATGAGAAGAGCACTGGAGTCTCCAGAGCACAGCTGTTGACGTCTCTCCCAAAGTACGCAAACGACACTGTTCTCATTTCTGAAGGGCGGGAAGCACATGAATTACTAGAAAAATAGGTCAGACAGTCCTTCATTATCTGCCTCGTACCCACAGTGTTAAGTCATGTTGCGGGGCCAACCGTTTTTGAACATTACTATAAGAACTCTCTTGTGATCGGTTGATCCAGTGGGCTGAAATGGGGTGCGGCTGTCGCCTGAATCGAGAGCCTTCTCCATCTCCTGAGCCTCTACAATCCACCAGCGTTTTGTTGGTCTTCAAGTTCTTGATTATCCGGCGCGTGACGAGTCTGCGTGTGCCATCGCAGTCGCTAGTCACTGGTATGGCACTTCTGGCAGCAAATAGAGATGTAGGTTGAGAGCATGGCCTCTCTGACACGCCTTCATTGACTCTCTACCCAATCTCCATCAACGTGACTGTGCGTTTTCACTAGCTTTCCAGCTAGATCACCTGGATACTACTAAGGTAATGAAACTCAACGAAGTTGGCAGACGGACTTTCTCGGCTTCGAAACGTGTACTGCTGACGGAAAACGGAGTGATAAACCAGCCAACAAAGTGGTATGATCAGAGTCAAGGTGTGTACTCCAGAATTAATACCCAAATGACCCAAATGAATCAACGACTGGTTTGCGGTTGGTGGCCTGCACGTAACTCGACTTGAGAGTTTGTGTTGGAAGTCCGTACTGGCCAGGAACAGACAATATTTAGCACACAGCTGAAGAAGCCAATCCCCATTATCCGTACTCTGAGCATAGACTCCAAATCTGTCACCCAACGATGTTTCTTCCGGGTTCAGTCGTCCAGTTTGGGCATCCATATCATTCACCAAGATTACCACATCCATTCTTCTTGCTGGTCGAAGCAGTCGTGACATACTTGGTAAAACACGTCCTTTTCGGCCTCAGAACTGTAGTCTGTCGGAGCATATATCGATATGACAAATAAACACTGTTGATCGCATCGAACTTAGCTGAACCGTCGTTCAGCTGTAGTACCCTTTCCGTGCCTAATTGCCATGCCACTAGAAGGAAGCACGAGGGCTGGGATACTACCAGGTTGCCCAAGCCTAGAAAGGGCAAGTCTACAGGCAGAGGTCGGGTTCGAACCACAGACCTTCCGATCAGTAACTTGGCGCTCTAACCACTTGGGACGTCTCTTTTAATCGGACCAGACAATAGTATAGCGCAAAGACAACTGTTTACTCGTATTCAGTCAGGTAATGCGTTTGTAGCCTTGGGCTGAGTGCAATTTCCACACAGCAGTTACGAACCCCGACCTAAAGCTGCCACCTTGACGTGGTGGTCGGGCTTGAGTGTTGCAATGATCCCGCGGGCTACACTGGCTGGACCTTCGTTCCACAAGGTGCAACCATGCCAGGAAGGCCAAAGGGGAGCAGCCAGACCAAGAGCAGCGAGACCCCGCACTACGAGTAATCGTGGTACGAGGCGGTCTGGGGGTAAAGTCGTACTGTCCTCTGCGACAGGAGTGTGAAGGCAGTAAGGTGTTTCCCCTAGGCGACCAGCATGTCCATATTTATGGAAGCAGAGACGCTGCCTTCCCCCGAGGAAGGACGGGTTAGAAAAGGTCGGCTCCAAAAACCGCACACTCCGATCGCCCAACGGTTGACCGTGACCGCCGGCGCATTATCCAATACGGTCGAAATACTTTTAAAGCCAAAGAGCCCGGTGCCGCTCAAAAGGCACCTGCTGTGCGCAGCCGCATCAGGAATGAGACAGTAATGCCTTATTCCCTGCGCCCTCGGGTTAGGCCAACCCCCTGCAGCCGAGCAGGTCAGACTATTGAGTCATCGGCTCCGGGCAGGGTCCCCAAAGAAAACCCTACATTCTCCCACTGCCTCGTGGGTCAGACTTTTGAGTCAGAGGCTAGGGTCAGGGTCCCCGAACAAAACCCTACGTCCTCCCACTGCCTTGTGGGTCAGACTTTTGAGTCGAAGGCTCAAGGTGGGGTACCTCAACCAAACCCCCTTCCTCGGCCTGGGCAACCGGGAAGTATCATTTGCCCACGCAGTTCAGCGTCCACCGATGTCCCTCCCCAACCCCTTCCCACCGCACAAGCAAAAGTCGCTGGGCCATTTGACTGTCAGTCATCTGACCGAAAGGACTTATGCTCCTCGCTGCCTACAAACATGAAACAAAATAAAACCTTCCTAAATCCACGAGATCCTTTCTATATAGGAGCTTTAAACGTTCGTACTCTATGTCAAATTGGCAAACAGGCACTGCTTGTCGAAACCTTGTACTCCCTTAAAATCGATGTATGGTGTGTCTTCGAAACACGCATACAAAGACCCGAGCGTGGTTCTCCATCTCAGAACGCCAAGAATGAACTCAGCTCTCTTACACTTCTCCCTCCGTGTGTCCGGAGACCCAGAAGCGATGACTCGTGGAATATATGGCGTGGGAGTTGCACGCTTTGCTGGATTGGATCCCAGTGAACAGCCGTCTCTGCGCCGTCCGGCTATCCAGTTCAATCAAGCTCAATGCCTCGCGGCATAAAAAGCGGTGCCTGTTTGTCGTGTCGGCTTATGCCCCAACAGACTGCATTTCTGATGCGGAAAAGGATACTTTCTGTCGAGAGCTATCCGGGCTCATTCGTCAGGCAAAAAGCACTGACATTGTGATACTTGCAG